CGAGGAGGAGCAGGGGCTGCCGCCGTCCCCGCAGCAGGGCCCGCGGCGCCCCCTCTCCGAGCCCGCGCTGGGCGGCCGGGCGCAGGCGGCGGCCCCCAGCAAGGCGGCAGCGCCGCAGCGGGACGCGAGGGCGCGCGAGAAGGTCTACGTGACCAGGCTGCAGCCGGGCAAGCGCAAAGCGCCGCCCCAGGAACCCGCCTTCCCCAGCATCTTCCTCTACCCCAAGCCCCTGAGGAAAGTGCCCCTTCGCTCCCGGAGCCCCCGCAGGCCCCCGGTGCCCTCCAGCAAGCTCCGCACCCTCACTGGCCGCCGGCTGCCCTGGCTGCTGAGCACCATCCCCAAGGAGAAGGGCACGGCCAAGCGGCGGAGCGCCGGGCGCCAGGGGYGGCCGGACAAGCGGCCGGAGCCGAGGGGTGAGCGGCGGGCGCTGGCCGGCCTCCTGGGGCCTGGAGCCCACGGARCCCACGGGCTCTTCAGCAGGGAGGCACGCGAGGACGCCACGACCAGCCCGGGCAGGACGGCGGCCACTGCCGATTACAACTCCTCAGAGGCAGCCCCCTTGGGCGCCACGCGGGTGACGTCCTTCCTGAAGATGTCGGAAACCACAGCGTCGCAGCAGGAGGGAAGGGAGGGCCCGGGAAAGGGCCAGGAAGAAGAGGAGGAGGAGGAGGAGGAGGAGGTGTCGGACTACAGCTACGAGACGGCGGAGCTGCAGCCGAGCTGGCTGGAGGACTCCATCAACTGGCAGCGGACGTTCAGCGTGGGCGCGGTGGACTTCGAGCTGCTGCGCTCCGACTGGAACGACCTGCGCTGCAACGTGTCCGGCAACCTGCAGCTGAGCGAGAGCGAGGTGGTGGACGTGGTGGCGCAGTACCTGGAGAGGCTCAACGAGAAGAACGGCGGGTAGGAGCGGGAGCGCGTGGTGGGTGCGGGCGCGTGTTTTCACCCTGCTGCAGGGCTGGGGACGCGGGAYGGTGGCATCACTCGAAGCCCCTTGGTGAGGGGACCGAGACCCTGTTGTGGGGGCCGTGTGAGGAAGACCTGATGATGGTGATGGTGGCTCCCTTTCCCTGCAGCATCTACACTCTCCTGCGGATCATCAACGTGGAAAAACGGCGGGACACGGCCCGGGGCAACCGCTACCTGCTGGAGCTGGAGCTGGCGGAGCGGGGCCAGCGCACGGTGCGGCTCTCCGAGTACGTTTATGTCCTCTTGCACCAGGGCAAGCAGGACGACAGCGGCGAGGCCAAGCCTGAGGGGCCAGCGCTGGCCGCCACCGAGCCCCAGCCAAGCGCCTGGAGCGTCCTCTACGGGAAGCCCGTCCTGTGCCAGCCCGTGCACCTCAGCTGGAAGCAGGACGTCATGGTGCACTTCGTGGTGCCCGGTGCGTGAGAGGGAACCTCCTTCCTCCTCCCTGCTCTGGGCCGCCCCAGGGGCCGCGGCGGCGGCGTGTGCGCGGCAGGGCCCCGTGGGAGCGTGGCGTGGCTGGGCCGGGCGAGGGGGAGCCCTGCAGCGGGCYGGCCGAGCCCTGAGGGGCCTCTCTCGTTGGGTGCCCAGTGAAGAACCAGGCGCGCTGGGTGCAGCAGTTCATCGCGGACATGGCCGGCCTCTACGGCGCCACCAAGGACGCCAACTTCAACGTCATCCTCGTGGACTTTGACAGCGATGACATGGATGTGGAGAAGGCKCTGCAGGAGGCCCGGCTGCCCCGGTAACGCAGCTCCCCGGGGAGCTCCCCAAAACCTGCCCGCCCCCTTCCCAAGGGGGTGTCAGCCCGATGTCCTTGCCGGACCRATCCCAGCTCCTTCCCGCCACCTGTGCCGGAGCGCAGCGCTGGCGCTGACCACCCCTGGGGTCCCCACAGGTACCAGTACCTGCGTCGCACGGGCAACTTTGAGCGCTCGTCGGGGCTGCAGGCCGGCGTGGACGCCGTCGAGGTGAGGCGCGAGGCCGCGGCAGCTCCGCGCGCGGCGCCGGCCCCGGTGCGGAGCTGACGCCTCCCGCCTGTGTGCGCCCCCTCGCCGCTCCCCCAGGACGGGCACAGCATCGTGTTCCTGTGCGACCTGCACATCCACTTCCCTGCCAATATCCTGGACAGCATCCGGAAGCACTGCGTGGAGGGCAAGCTGGCCTACGCGCCCATCGTCATGCGCCTGGGCTGCGGCAGCTCCCCCCGCGAGCCCAATGGTGAGTTACCCCCCTGCCCTCGAGTGCCAAAACACCCGCCCGCCTGCCCGGAGCAGAGCCGGGATCCCGGCGCTGCTCCCTGGGGATGTGCCTGGCATGGGGGCAGATCCAGCTGGCGAGACGCACGGAGAGGCACTGTGACCTGCTGGGCACGAGGCTCCCAAAACTGGACCTCAGGGCGGGAGGAGGCTGCGGGATTGAGGTCCGTGCTTGGAAGCAGGGGCTGGGACGGGCCATTGCTGTGGCCGCAGCTTTCCAGGCAAGACCTCGGCTGCGGGGCTGCCGGGCGGGATCACCGCTCCCGCCTCTCCTTTCCCCTAGGCTACTGGGAGGTGAACGGCTTCGGCCTCTTCGGCATCTACAAGTCGGACTTCGACCGCGTCGGAGGGATGAACACGGAGGAGTTCAGAGACCGCTGGGGCGGGGAGGACTGGGAGCTCCTGGACAGGTGAGACGGGGGGGACACGGGGAGGCTGTCGCCTGCTACCCGCACATGGTAGGAGCGGCCACCGCATGGAGTCACAATCCCATGGGATGGGGGATGCCGTGGGGGGTGAGAAGTCACTCAGGGCGGCCTCGAAGTGCCCCCCGCGGCCTCCCTCTCGCTGAGCCCTCCCTGCTCCGTGCGTCCCGCCGCAGGGTCCTGCAGAGCGGCCTGGAGGTGGAGCGCTTGCGTCTCAGGAACTTCTACCACTACTACCACTCCAAGCGCGGCATGTGGAACGCGCGCAGCAGGAAAGGCCCCAGGGACTAGCGGCCGGCGCCTGCCGCGAGGGGACACCCCGGTGACCGCGGGGCCGCGGCGGCACCGCGCGGGACGGGCCCTGGGACTGCATCGTCTCGCACGTCCCGGGTTCTGTCGCGGGGCCGGCCGCGCGGCCGCCCCGGCTCCCCTGCTGCCGGCGCCAGCGGCACCCGCCGCCGGGACATCTCCACACGGACCGCCATTATTTCGGGGAGGGGGAAACAGGGGTGGCGGGAGGGCAAAAGCAAGTGGGGATTTTTTTCTTAAGGGTCTAATTTCGTAGTCAGCAACGGATTTATTAACTCAGTAGCGCCGGGGCGAGAGGAGACCCCCTGTGAGGAGCCCCGTGGAGCTGGGGGAGGCGCCGGAGCTGGGGAGCTGCCCCCCAGGCCCTGGTTTCCAGGTGGGGAGTGGGCAGCCGGGGCAGGTCTCCTTCTGCCTCCAGGGCTCTGCTCCCCGTGCCCCGGGTCGCGCCGTCCGTGGGGCTCCGCACGCGCCGTGGCCCCGGCCGTGCCGGATAGGACCGGGGCCGGGGTGGGAAAGGGCAGAGCCCGAAGCCCACGCGGGAGCGGGGAGAGGCAAGTGACGTTTCCAAGCTAATTTCTGTGAAATTATGAGGTAGGAAGCTGTTTTGGGGAAGTTCTGTCCATTTTGTTTTTGTTTTTGTTTTTTGCTTTTTTATTTTTATTCTTAAAAAATAAAATCAATGTGACCGGGGTTTGCTTCCCCCTCCTCCAGGTCCGTGGCAGTTCCCCGGAGCCCTGCAGCCCCGGAAAGGGCTGGAGGGTGCGCAGGGCCGCGGGGCAGTCGCTGTGCCGGGGGCTCCCGCGGTGGGAAGGGGAGCGGGAAGGGAAGGGAAGGGYTCCCCGTGCGCGCCCGGGCCTGTCGCCCAGCTCGGCGCCTGCCTGCGCATGCAGGGCGGCCCTGCAGCCTCCCTGCCCCGGGAGGCGCCCGCACCCCGCGCTGCCCAACGCGCTCGGGGCCCACCTGGGAGAGCCCCCCTGGGAGCAGGATCCCCCCGCGGCCCCGCGCTGGTGACGGAGCCCACGGAGGCGTTGGCCGCGCGTCGCGCCCTGCCCCGCGGCGCTCGCCCGCAAAGGTGTTGGGGCTTGTTGGCCCCGCGGGTGGAGGCGGCGGGGCCGCGCTGAGCACGGGCCGCTTGTGACAGCAGTGCGCGGCGCAGGCTGCAGGGGTCCTGGGTGCCGGGATCAGCCAGCGGCAGCGGCGCTCGCTCGGCACCGAACCGGTCGGGCGCGTTTCGCTCGCTCCCCCTCGCCCTGGGCGCCTTCAAAGGCCTCCTCTCCCTCCCACGCGAGGCGAGGCGCAAGGCGCGCTCCGGCGAGGCTGCGCCTGCCACTGCCGCGGCGGCCCCCGAAGCGCTGCCCCGTGGGCAGAGCGCCGCG